CAATGTATTACAGTCTACATCAATGTATTACAGCCTCCATCAATGTATAACAGCCTCCATCAATGTATTACAGTCTACATAAATGTATTACAGTCTACATCAATGTATTACAGTCTACATTAATGTATTACAGTCTACATCAATGTATTACAGTCTACATCAATGTATTACAGCCTCCATCAATGTATTATAGTCTACATCCATTTATTACAGTCTACATCAATGTATTACAGTCTACATCAATGCATTACAGCCTCCATCAATGTATTACAGCCTCCATCAATGTATTACAGTCTACATCCATTTATTACAGTCTACATCAATGCCTGGTATGACTGTATTACAGCCTCCATCAATGTATTACAGTCTACATTCAATGTATTACAGTCTACATTCAATGTATTACAGTCTACATTCAATGTATTAAAGTTTCCATCAATGCCTCGTATTACTGTATTACAAACTGTACAAACACTTGGATTGGGGGATACCCTGAGAGAAATGGGATATGGTGTGGCTAATGACCTACATATTTCCAGCGACAAGAGCTAGGCAGGTTACGTCGTGAAAACCCAGATAAGAGGTTTTTTATAAAGGAGGGGAACTTGAGGAGAATGTGAAGAACGATAGTGAGATGACAGATAACCAAGAGACACCAGAGAGAACTACAGCACACAGACGGGAGAGAAGGGATAGCCAGAACATCAGAACATCACCCTCACAAGGACATAGACGGGGAGGTTCACACACAGGACCACGACTTCTGAGTTCTCGCTCTAAGGCCTGGGACAGGACAAACAACCAACTAGGGGTGCGACGAGCCCGAGCGTGATTGTAGGACGCCTCATGTAGATACGATAGATGATGTCGATGATTGTAAATTTGAGAATAGAACATTTGCTTTCTGGAATGTATCAGGACTTAATTCTAAATTAACTGATCAGGACTTTACCGATTTTTTAAACTCATTTGACTTCATCGGCATAACAGAAACATGGATGAAAGATATAGACATAAGTTTGATATTTCCAGGATTCAAGCTATGGATCAAAGAAGCTGAAAAGATTTCCAACTTTGGTAGACTTTCTGGTGGTATTGCCATATTAGTTAGACAACAACTTGTTAAATATGTAAAATGGTCTAAAGTTTACGACAGTGGCATTTTCATGCGGTTAGATCAAACCGTATTTGGATTTTAAAAAGATTTGCTATATTCATGTGTTAATGTTTACCCTTTGTTCTACACAAACCCTTTGGGGCAATGCAAGAATGGCATACATATATTACAAAATGACTTACTTGATGTACTAGCACATTGTGATGATGTTTATCTGAAGATTGGGGGAGACTTGAATGCCAGAACTAGGACTGAATCTGATTTTGTAGAAGATGATATCCTTGAATATCTCGAGGGACATGATAACAGTGAATGGGGATTTCTGTTAGACAATTTCAGCTTAAAATGATTTTCTGTGTATTTACCTTTGAATAACTTTGGTAAGAGCTTACTAGATAGTAAACCAGGATGCGAGTGTGGTGGATTATATTATTGCCTCGTCCGAGTTGTTTGATATGCGCCATAGCTTTGACATATCGTCTAATCACACCTTCCTGTCACGACTAGTTTACGTACGCTTCTAGTAAGTAATGCCACGCAATACACGTAACAATGCTTCCTTCAAATTTGTGTGGGTTGAAGAGAGGGCTGAACAGTGTAGAATAAACCTTATTTCTGGGACTGCGCATGATTTACTGGAGAAGGCTGTAGATGTAGCACTCGTTAACGTTGAAGAAAGTATTGGGTATTTTACTGAAGCTGTTATTATTGCTGCTTCTGATATGAAGAAAATGAATAAGGGCTGAAAATATGTTCAACAATGGTTTGATAGCGAATGCCATCTACTTAAAAAGGAACGATGCCCTGAGATAACTTTAGAAAGAATAAGGACAGAGGATCACTAACCGACTATAATAGAGTAAGAAATCAGTACAACGATGTTTGTAAGAAAAAAAAAGACAGAATGTTTCGAACAAAAACTGAAACTGTTGGAATCAAGCATAGATAATTCTAAAACATGACGATAACAATCTATTTGACATGGAATTCAACGAAGATAAAGTTGACAGTGTAACAGCTGATATTCTCGAATGTCCAATATCTAAAGAGGAAATTATTGACGGCACATCCAACCTTAACGATAATAAGGCATCTGGAAATGATAATGTGATAGCAGAGTTTTTTTAACATTCCTCAGATATTTTAATACCATATTTGGAACCTATTTTTAATATCCTTTTAGAGAGATCATATTTTCCAGAGAATTGGACAGTTAGCATCATTGTTCCTCTTCACAAACAGGGCGCAACCAGCGATGTTAATAATTATAGAGGCATAACTCACCTAAGTACATTCAGTAAAATATTTACTTCAGTTATTAATAAGAAACTTGTTTTCTGGGCTGGTGTCATAAGCAGGTATTAGAAAGGGATACTCCACCACTGACTTGTTTATATCCTATATTATATCATACAGAGATATCTATCAGTGAAACAAGGGAGGCTATATGCTGTTTTCGTAGATTTTGCAAAAGCTTTTGACTCTGTGAAAAGGGTTAACCTGTGGTCACTCTTTCAAAGACATGGGCTGAGTAGCAAAATTGGAAAGTTATTATGCTTTCTATATACAAACGTGAAGGTGTGTGTCCAGAACAATGGCGCCATATCGGATACTTTTGTAAGTAGCATGGGTGTCCGACAAGGGTGTATATTAAGTCCCTTCTTATTTTCCTTGTTCATAAATTAATTAGACTATCAAATCCAAAATACTTGCACTGATGGAATACAGCTACACCCCGAAACTATTAAATTATTTCTGCTGCTTTTCGCTGACGATATAGTCATGTTCTCGAGCACAATACCTGGCTTGCAAAAGCAAATACATGTATAAGAGAGTTATTGTGACGGGTCAAAACTTACTGTAAATATGGATAAAACCAAAGTTGTAGTTTTTAAAAATGGTGGTAACATATCCAGAAAAGAAAAATTGCTCTACAGAGGGAAGCCAGTAGAAGTTGTTCCATTTCATAAATACTTAGACGTGTGTTTTGCAAGTAGATTAACTTGGTCAAGGAATGCCTATAACATTTCTCTGCAAGCCATGAAAGTTTTTGTAGGCATATTAAAAAGTCTTAGAGTTCTGGATAATATTACTTATGATGCTTATTTTAAAATATTCGATACAAAAATAGGCCCGATTCTATTGTATGGATGAGAAATTTGGGGCCTAGAACATTTGGAAGTTATTGAAAATATATATGCATGTTAAAAGTTCTTTGGTGTTAAATCTAGCACAGAAAACGCATGGGTATATGGTGAATGCGGACGGTTTCCCATGTATATCAATAGTTATTTAAAGGTTATTAAATACTGGGTCAAGCTATTAAATATGCCATCTTCAAGATACCCAAGAAAATGTTATAATATGATGCTTCTCTACGACAGCCATGGGAAACAAAATTGGGCATCAAAAGTTAAAACCATGTTATACGAATGTGGATATGGTTATATTTGGCTACAGCAACATGTAGATAGGCCACAGCATTTCTTCCCCCGTTTGACACAGACCTTAAAAGATATGTACATCAAAAAATGGCATGGTTCTTTGTCCAGTTCTAGAAAAGCAAATTACTACACTACATTTAAGACTACTATAATACGAGAACCTTATCTATTAAGTGTAAATTTACATAAGTTTAGAACAGCTCTTTCTCGATTTCGTTGTGGCTCACATGATCTATTTATTGAAACAGTCAGATATGAAGGTATTGCAAGTGAACATAGACTTTGTAGGATTTGTAAAACTGATTGTATTGAAGATGAATATCACTTTTCATGGGTATGTCCAGTGTATGGAGATTTAAGAGCAAAATAACTAAATAACTATTCTATCGCAACCCAAACGGTAAAAACATTTCTAAATTAATGACTTGTGATTGTACAGAAACTATTAGAAATTTATCAATGTTTGTTTATCATGCTATGAAACTAAGCAAATGTATGAATTTGTAACACGCCCCAGACAATGTACTATAGGCCTTTGGCCTCATAAGTACCATGAATAAAGATTGATTTATTGACTGTATTACAGTCTCCATCAATGCTAGGTATGCCTGTATTATAGTCTCCATCAATGCTGGGTGTAACTGTAATGCAGTCTCCATCGATGCTGGGTGTGACTGTATTATAGCCTCCATCAATGCTGGGTGTGACTGTATTATAGTCTCCATCAGTGCTGGGTGTGACTGTATTACAGTCTCCATCAATGCTGGGTGTGACTGTATCACAGCCTTCATCAATGCTGGGTGTGAGTGTATCACAGCCTTCATCAATGCTGGGTGTGACTGTATCACAGTCTCCATCAATGCTGGGTGTGACTGTATTACAGTCTCCATCAATGCTCGGTGTAACTTTAATGCAGTCTCCATCGATGCTGGGTGTGACTGTATTATAGCCTCCATCAATGCTGGGTGTGACTGTATTATAGTCTCCATCAGTGCTGGGTGTGACTGTATTACAGCCTCCATCAATGCTGGGTGTGACTGTATTACAGTCTCCATCAATGCTCGGTGTGACTGTATTATAGCCTCCATCAATGCTGGGTGTGACTGTATTATAGTCTCCATCAGTGCTGGGTGTGACTGTTTCACAGCCTTCATCAATGCTGGGTGTGACTGTATTCCAGCCTCCATCAATGCTGGGTGTGACTGTATTCCAGCCTCCAGTCTTTATTAGATGCTCGAAAATGAACCTGGCTGACGTGGGTATCGCGGGTTGATATTTGTCATGATATAAAAGCTGCCATATAACAACTTTAATGTATCAGATATTAGCGTATTACATATATAGATACATATTCACTTGTGTTGGATATGTGAGATATTAACGTTAAATATGAATGCATATTCACTTGAACACTGAGAACAAGCACAAGAATACATTACCGAGATTGGGCGCCTTCTTTGGACAAAGTTGTTTTGAACCAGTTGTCTTTGTTTGGGAGGTATCTTCTCGAAAATCTGGCATTTCCTCCAGGAATGCAATATTCCTCCAAGGGCTGATGACGTTGGAGACAACATTGGAGACGACGTTGACGTACTTGAGGACTGGTGATAGGGCACACACTACCAACAGGGCGAGTAGAAGCTTCTTCTTAGGCCCTCGAGGACACAACTGGAAGGCCTGCAACACCGAGTGAGTGAGTGAGTATGGTTTTACGCCGCTTTTAGAAATATTCCAGCAACATCGCGGGGAAGCACACCAGACATTGGCTTAACCACTTTGTAACCATACCCGGGATGACGAGCGAACGCTTTAATCACTTGGCTACCCACGCCCCTGCAAAACCAAGGAGAGAGAATATCACTGCAATATATGATGTACAATTGTGTGTGATGTATAACTGTAATATATGTACAATTGTGTGTGATGTATAACTGTAATATATGTACAATGCTGTGTGATGTATCACTGCAATATATGTACAACTGTGTGTGATGTATAACTGTAATATATGTACACTGGTGTGTGATGTATAACTGCAATATATGTACAATTGTGTGTGATGTATCACTGCAATATATGTACAATTGTGTGTGATGTATAACTGTATTATATGTACAATGCTGTGTGATGTATAACCGTAATACATGTACAATGGTGTGTGATGTATAACTGCAATATATGTACAATGGAGTACAATAGAGTACAGTGGAGTTAATTGAGCAATATGTCCACGACATTTTACCCCAACATTCGACATAAGTGAGACAAATAACCTCAATACGGGATGTTGGTAAGATATAGGTAGTTTACTTTGATTTACTAAAGAAATTACCATCGTATATTGTCAGTATGACATTTGCCCACATACATGGTATCAATATGACATTTGCCCCCACACATCGTATCAATATGACATTTGCCCACATACATGGTATCAATATGACATTTGCCCCCACACATGGTATCAATATGACATTTGCCCATATACATGGTATAAATATGACATTTGCCCCCACACAAGGTATCAATATCACATTTGCCCCCACACATGGTATAAATATGACATTTGACCACATACATCGTATCAATATGACATTTGCGCACACACATGGTATCAATATGACATTTGCCCACACACATGGAATAAATATGACATTTGCCCCCACACAAGGTATCAATATCACATTTGCCCCCACACATGGTATAAATATGACATTTGACCACATACATCGTATCAATATGACATTTGCGCACACACATGGTATCAATATGACATTTGCCCACACACATGGAATAAATATGACATTTGCCAACACACATGGTATCAATATGACATTTACACAGACACATGGTATCACTTTACCTAAAACCAGGTGAATGAATATCAATAGGACAGAGTAACTCAGGATAAGTTTATATCCACACATTACTCTAGTTATCTTCCCGAGGCCAAGGAGTTAACTGTCTTTTAAAGTCAGCTACAACCCTTGCCGAACTAGGCTGGAACTATGCAGTTACATTTTGGCTGGAATAACGACCCTACCCATAGTCCAAACAAGATCGCATAGCGATATCACGTCCGGTTCGTAAACTGCCATTCAGATTTCGGTCGGTTTCGACCGACAAGTTAGCGTGAACTGATATTTTCCAAATCTGTTCATGTTAATCGATGCGTTCACTTTATTTGATGCACATCAAGAAGTAAGACCCGTTTTATTAGAATATACATCTTTATTATCGATCATATCGTCTTCACTGGGCGCCGCCATCTTGTTTAAAGTAAATGCAAGTGATATGAGAAGTGGAATCTGATTGGTCAATAGGAGGGACATAGACTCGTCACAGGCACTGGTTGCTCTACGATCGAGCTGGTGGCTGGACAAACGAGTCTATGCACAGTCCAATCAAATTCGCACAGCGAAATTGTCATCTGGTTCATTCGATTGCAGAATTAAAAACGAGTACAGTAGTTGCACATTTATATCCACATATTACATCAGTTGAACATTTATATCCACACAGTATATCAGCTGAACATTTATATCCACACAGTATATCAGCTGAAAATTTATATCCACACAGTATATCAGTTGAACATTTATATCCACACAATAAATCAGTTGAACATTTATATCCACACAGTATATGAGTTGAACATTTATATCCACACAGTAAATAAGTTGAACCTTTATATCCACACATGATATCAGTTGAACATTTATATCCACACATGATATCAGTTGAACATATATATCCACACACTATATCAATGTTCAGGTGATTTCGTGGAGTATACTTACTACATGTTTGAACAGAGGGTCTTGTCGGACTGTCCTGACAACGTGTCTCAACAGCCATGACGGGTGTCTTCTTACAGTGTACTGACAACGTGTCTCAACAGCCATGACGGGTGTCTTCTTACAGTGTACTGACAACGTGTCTCAACAGCCATGACGGGTGTCTTCTTACAGTGTACTGACAACGTGTCTCAACAGCCATGACGGGTGTCTTCTTACAGTGTACTGACAACGTGTCTCAACAGCCATGACGGGTGTCTTCTTACAGTGTACTGACATCATATCTGAACAGGGGCTTTTCACAACACATCAAGCACATTACGTCTCTCAGTGTGCACTGTGTGTCACGTGATACACTTCACGTCTCTCAGTGTGCACTGTGTCACGTGATACACTTCATGTCTCTCAGTGTGCACTGTGTGTCACGTGATACACTTCACGTCTCTCAGTGTGCACTGTGTCACGTGATACACTTCATGTCTCTCAGTATGCAATGTCTGGTCACGTGATACACTTCATGTCTCTCAGTGTGCAATGTCTGGTCACGTGATACACTTCATGTCTCTCAGTGTGCAATGTGTTGTCACGTGATACACTTCAGTCCTCTCAATGTGCACTGTGTCACGTGATACACTTCATGTCTCTCAGTGTGCACTGTGTGTCACGTGATACACTTCATGTCTCTCAGTGGGCACTGTGTGTCACGTGATACACTTCATGTCTCTCAGTGTGCATTGTGTGGTCACGTGATACACTTCATGTCTCTCAGTGTGCACTGTGTGGTCACGTGATACACTTCACGTCTCTCAGTGTGCAATGTGTGGTCACGTGATACACTTCATGTCTCTCAGTGTGCACTGTGTGTCACGTGATACACTTCACGTCTCTCAGTGTGCACTGTGTGTCACGTGATACACTTCACGTCTCTCAGTGTGCACTGTGTGGTCACGTGATACACTTCACGTCTCTCAGTGTGCAATGTCTGGTCACGTGATACACTTCATGTCTCTCAGTGTGCAATGTGTGGTCACGTGATACACTTCACGTCTCTCAGTGTGCAATGTGTGGCCACGCGATGCACTTTATGTCTCTCATTGTGCACTTTTGGTCGTGGGATGAAGTAGGCACGTTCCTATGTGAAGTCAGCTATGGCTTGGCTGAAAAAAACCCATGAACATCGTTAATTCATTTCTATCACCGTTAATGTTACGTCACGTCACATAATATATATACCCTGAAACGTCGCTAATGACGGCATTGTTGCAAGCGTAATTATCTTTAGTACCAGATGATTATGGTTCGTTTCCATATATCAAATTTGTGTTATGTCCATATATGGTTATATTAAGTTCTCGTTTTGACCATATATGGATGTAGCGAGTACTCTTTATGCTCAAATATGGACGTAAAGAATTCGAAGTAACCAAACGTCCCTAGGCGATTTTTGTTTAGGACATCCAAAATTTTCGGTCAGAATTTCAAGGGTTAGGGTTGGTGTTAGTATACCATGTCTTTCACTTAAAAGAGTACAGCACTGTTGTTTTTTTCTAAATCAGAACACATTGGACGTTTTTTTAGACACCCGAGAACAATGTTTTTTATACGAAATAGGGAACAGATTAGTTTGGGTTGTTTGGTTTGGTGTTTTTTTTAAAACACATACACATACACCCTCCACCCACACACTGTCAACAGTTGATCCCTGAGCACGAGGCATGGAGATAGTAAAGGTGATATTTGTTCTTCAGATCTGACCGAAAACTAACAGTTAAATATACTACTTATTGTTGCAAATACACTTTACCTGTATTCATTCTTATTTATGTCAACAAAAATCCAGGTGTAGAACTGTCTGGCCTCGTGTTTGACTTTCCTGTACTTCAGGGAGCTCAGTCCCTCTGCCTTGAGGCGCTCCTCTGCCGTCCACAACAACTGGTACCTGAAGGAGGTGGACGGGTAGTCAACACGCACCATCGAGATGTTGATGCTATACCTTACTATCCCCTCTATACAAACTATAGGACCTGGTATCGCTGACATCGTTTAGCCTCTACAATATTGATTACATTTCTCTTCTCTACATTAAATAATGCCTAGTGTTACAGATATTACTTCCTTTCTCTACATTATATATCACCTGGTGCTGCAGATATTACTTCCTTTCTCTACATTATATATCACCTGGTGGTGCAGATATTACTTCCCTTCTCTACATTATATATCACCTGGTGCTGCAGATATTACTTCCTTTCTCTACATTATATATCACCTCGTGCTGCAGATATTACTTCCCTTCTCTACATTATATATCACCTGGTGGTGCAGATATTACTTCCTTTCTCTACATTATATATCACCTGGTGCTGCAGATATTACTTCAACACTCTACATTATATATCACCTGGTGCTGCAGATATTACTTCCTTTCTCTACATTATATATCACCTGGTGCTGCAGATATTACTTCCTTTCTCTACATTATATATCACCTGGTGGTGCAGATATTATTTCCCTTCTCTACATTATATATCACCTGGTGGTGCAGATATTACTTCCCTTCTCTACATTATATATCACCTGGTGCTGCAGATATTACTTCCTTTCTCTACATTATATATCACCTGGTGCTGCAGATATTACTTCCCTTCTCTACATTATATATCACCTGGTGCTGCAGATATTACTTCCCTTCTCTACATTATATATTACCTGGTGCTGCAGATATTACTTCCCTTCTCTACATTATATATCACCTGGTGCTGCAGGTATTACTTCCCTTCTCTACATTATATATCACCTGGTGCTGCAGATATTACTTCCCTTCTCTACATTATATATCACCTGGTGCTGCAGATATTACTTCCCTTCTCTACATTATATATCACCTGGTGGTGCAGATATTACTTCCTTTCTCTACATTATATATCACCTGGTGCTGCAGATATTACTTCAACTCTCTACATTATATATCACCTGGTGCTGCAGATATTACTTCCTTTCTCTACATTATATATCACCTCGTGCTGCAGATATTACTTCCTTTCTCTACATTATATATCACCTGGTGGTGCAGATATTACTTCCTTTCTCTACATTATATATCACCTGGTGGTGCAGATATTACTTCCCTTCTCTACATTATATATCACCTGGTGGTGCAGATATTACTTCCTTTCTCTACATTATATATCATCTGGTGCTGCAGATATTACTTTAACTCTCTACATTATATATCACCTGGTGCTGCAGATATTACTTCCCTTCTCTACATTATATATCACATGGTGCTGCAGATATTACTTCCCTTCTCTACATTATATATCACCTGGTGTTGCAGATATTACTCCACTTCCATACATTTTATATCACCTGGTACAGCTGACATTATGACCCCCTGTGCAGTATATAGTACCTGGTATTACTGACATTATTCCCCTCTGTACAGTTTATAGTACCTGGTATTACTGACATTATTCCCCTCTGTACAGTATACAGTACCTGGTATAGCTGACATTATTCCCCTCTGTACAGTATATAGTACCTGGTATTACTGACATTATTCCCCTCTCTACATTATATAGTACCTGGTATAGCTGACATTATTCCCCTCTCTACAGTATAAAGTACCTGGTATTACTGACATTATTCCCCTCTCTACAGTATATAGTACCTGGTATTGCTGACATTATTCCCCTCTGTACAGTAAATAGTACCTGGTACAGCTAACATTATTCCCCACTATACAGTATATAGTACCTGGTATAACTGACATTATTCCCCTCTCTACAGTATATAGTACCTGGTATTGATAACATTTTCCCTCTCTGTAATGTATATAGTACCTGGTATTACTGACATTATACCCCCCTGTATGGTATATAGTACCTGGTAAGACTGACATTATTCCCCCCTGTACAGTATATAGTACCTGGTATAACTGACATTATTCCCCTCTCTACAGTATATAGTTCCTGGTATTGATAACATTTTCCCTCTCTGTAATGTATATAGTACCTGGTATTACTGACATTATACCCCCCTGTACGGTATATAGTACCTGGTAAAGCTGACATTATTCCCCCCTGTACAGTATATAGTCCCTGGTATTGCTGACATTATTCACCTCAGTACAGTATATAGTACCCAGTATTACTGACATCATTACCCTCTGTACATTATATAGTACCTGGTATTACTGACATTATTCCCCTCTGTACATTATATAGTACCTGGTATTACTGACATTATTCCCCTCTGTACATTCTATAGTACCTGGTATTGCTGACATTATTCCCCTCTGTACATTTTATTTCAACTAGTATACCTGACATTTTCCCCCTCTGTACAGTATATAGTACCTGGTATTGCAAACATTATTCCCCTCTGTATAGTATATAGTACCTGGTATTGCTGACACCATTCCCCTCAGTGCAGTATATAGTACCTGGTATTGCTGACATAATTCCCCACTGTACATTATTTAGTACCTGGTATTGCTGACACCATTCCCCTCAGTGCAGTATATAGTACCTGGTATTGCAAACATTATTCCCCTCTGTACAGTATATAGTACCTGGCATTACTGACATTATTCCCCTCTGTACATTTTATTTTAACTAGTATTGCTGACATTATTCCCCTCTGAACATTATATAGTACCTGGTATTGCTGACACCATTCCCCTCAGTGCAGTATATAGTACCTGGTATTGCTGACACCATTCCCCTCAGTGCAGTATATAGTACCTGGTATTGCTGACATTATTCCCCTCTGTACAGTATATAGTTCCTGGTATTGCTGACACCATTCCCCTCAGTGCAGTATATAGTACCTGGTATTGCAAACATTATTCCCCTCTGTACAGTATATAGTACCTGGTATTGCTGACACTGTTCCCCTCTGTACAGTATATAGTACCTGGTATTGCTGACACTGTTCCCCTCTGTACAGTATATAGTACCTGGTATTGCTGACACTGTTCCCCTCTGTACAGTATATAGTACCTGGTATTGCTGACACTGTTTCCCTCTGAACAGTATATAGTACCTGGTATTACTGACACTGTTCCCCTCTGTACAGTATATAGTACCTGGTATTGCTGACATTATTCCCCTCTGTACAGTATATAGTACCTGGTATTGCTGACACTGTTCCCCTCTGTACAGTATACAGTACCTGGTATTGCTGACACTGTTCCCCTCTGTACAGTATATAGTACCTGGTATTGCTGACACTGTTCCCCTCTGTACAGTATATAGTATCTGGTATTGCTGACACTGTTCCCCTCTGTACAGTATATAGTACCTGGTATTGCAAACATTATTCCCCTCTGTACAGCATATAGTACCTGGCATTACTGACATTATTCCCCTCTGTACATTTTATTTTAACTAGTATTGCTGACATTATTCCCCTCTGAACATTATATAGTACCTGGTATTGCTGACACCATTCCCCTCAGTGCAGTATATAGTACCTGGTATTGCTGACACCATTCCCCTCAGTGCAGTATATAGTACCTGGTATTGCTGACATTATTCCCCTCTGTACAGTATATAGTTCCTGGTATTGCTGACACCATTCCCCTCAGTGCAGTATATAGTACCTGGTATTGCAAACATTATTCCCCTCTGTACAGTATATAGTACCTGGTATTGCTGACACTGTTCCCCTCTGTACAGTATATAGTACCTGGTATTGCTGACACTGTTCCCCTCTGTACAGTATATAGTACCTGGTATTGCTGACACTGTTTCCCTCTGAACAGTATATAGTACCTGGTATTACTGACACTGTTCCCCTCTGTACAGTATATAGTACCTGGTATTGCTGACATTATTCCCCTCTGTACAGTATATAGTACCTGGTATTGCTGACACTGTCCCCCTCTGTACAGTATACAGTACCTGGTATTGCTGACACTGTTCCCCTCTGTACAGTATATAGTACCTGGTATTGCTGACACTGTTCCCCTCTGTACAGTATATAGTACCTGGTATTGCTGACACTGTTCCCCTCTGTACAGTATATAGTACCTGGTATTGCTGACACTGTTTCCCTCTGAACAGTATATAGTACCTGGTATTACTGACACTGTTCCCCTCTGTACAGTATATAGTACCTGGTATTGCTGACACTGTTCCCCTCTGTACAGTATATAGTACCTGGTATTGCTGACACTGTTCCCCTCTGTACAGTATATAGTACCTGGTATTGCAAACATTATTCCCCTCTGTACAGTATATAGTACCTGGCATTACTGACATTATTCCCCTCTGTACATTTTATTTTAACTAGTATTGCTGACATTATTCCCCTCTGAACATTATATAGTACCTGGTATTGCTGACACCATTCCCCTCAGTGCAGTATATAGTACCTGGTATTGCTGACACCATTCCCCTCAGTGCAGTATATAGTACCTGGTATTGCTGACATTATTCCCCTCTGTACAGTATATAGTTCCTGGTATTGCTGACACCATTCCCCTCAGTGCAGTATATAGTACCTGGTATTGCAAACATTATTCCCCTCTGTACAGTATATAGTACCTGGTATTGCTGACACTGTTCCCCTCTGTACAGTATATAGTACCTGGTATTGCTGACACTGTTCCCCTCTGTACAGTATATAGTACCTGGTATTGCTGACACTGTTCCCCTCTGTACAGTATATAGTACCTGGTATTGCTGACACTGTTTCCCTCTGAACAGTATATAGTACCTGGTATTACTGACACTGTTCCCCTCTGTACAGTATATAGTACCTGGTATTGCTGACATTATTCCCCTCTGTACAGTATATAGTACCTGGTATTGCTGACACTGTTCCCCTCTGTACAGTATACAGTACCTGGTATTGCTGACATTATTCCCCTCTGTACAGTATATAGTACCTGGTATTGCTGACACTGTTCCCCCTGTCCTCGGTGTGGTACACGGCCTTGTATCTCCCTATGTTACTGGGATAACGGGATATCATGTAGTTCCTATACGCCAGTCTGGAAGGTAAAGGTTTCATATGAGACTAATGAAGGCGGTTGATAATTGCGTTGGTGGGTCATTTGTTGTCCTTTCTTACAGTTACATGTTGATTTGGAAATGATTGTTTACGTCTGTGTGTACATGTGGCTTGTTGTCTTCTGCCTGTACTACTAGTATATGTGGAGTGTGTCTTGTTTGTATTACCTGGTTTCATGACTACTATTTTAGAGCGACGTCATGGACTGGTTGGTATGGACGCATACCTGCTCAACAAGTCGTCGTCCTCTCCGCCCCAGCCGAAATAGAGGTTAGAGTGTCCGTTGATGTCCATGTAAATATCCCTCGACATCGCCATGACACCACCAGCATAGGCATGAAAGCCACCACCACTGAAATGAATGCTGCTTCATAATATCTTCAATGTATTGTGGGTATAACAGTTTGGCAAGACGCAGGCATCCCCGGGCACCAACTCTGCTCCTGAACTTGCTTATGTGTTTATCTATGCAAGCAAATCAGAATTTCTTCTCGGACTGCCAAAGTCAAAACTTTTCGTTTAACCTGAGGTATATCGATTATCTGATATTGTGTTGTAATCATTAAATAGACATTTCTCTTCCATGGATTTACCCACCTGAACAAGAGACCAGTGAGACTGCCTTGTCTGTTTCATATTTAGATCTATGCATAAATATCAGTGTGACACTCTCCACAAGACAGTATGACAAGAGGCATGACTTCAACTTTACAATAGTCATGTTTTTTTAATGTCAAGCAATATTCCAGCAGCTCGAGCCTTTGGTGTCTACATTTCACAACCTTTGAGGTCTTCCCACTAAGATGTCAAAGAGCGCCTTACGACACTTTCTCAAGTGACACTTACTCAAAGTTACAACATGAAAGGCATTAGTAGCGGTTTATGGAATATATATGAAGTACATTTCCAAATAAGACGCATCAGTGACAAACATAATGCCAGATGCAATTACCTATTATGACTTGTACTATATGTTCAGGTGTTTTTTACAGGTGAATATTGATTGACTTGTCTTGGCATGTGTTTGTGACGCGTGCAACCGGTGGGGCAGGATACACTAATCTTGTCGCGACTCCCGGTATCATCATTATTTGATAAATATTAACAAACACATACTCATGACAGAGTGGGACTCGTACAGTCGACTGAGCTTCCAAGAGATTCCAAGTTCTTATGAATATGGAAAGACACAGACTCTACAGTTATGTTTGTCACACACATTAATGTTTCTGAGTGTGGCACCACACGTCTAGGTGGGAACCTACTTGTCAAGTTTACGTAGGACACAGCCATGTTTTGGAGTGTGGCACCACACGTCTAGGTGGGAACCTACTTGTCAAGTTTACGTAGGACACAGCCATGTGTCTGGGCGTGGCACCACACGTCTAGGTAGGGACCTACTTGTCAAGTTTGCTGTTGGACACAGCCATGTGTCTGGGCGTGGCACCACACGTCTAGGTGGGAACCTACTTGTCAAGTTTGCTGTTGGCCACAGCCATGTGTCTGGGCGTGGCACCACACGTCTAGGATCTGGGCTATTTTAGATGGGAACCTACTTGTCAAGTTTGCTGTTGGACACAGCCATGTGTCTGGGCGTGGCACCACACGTCTAGATAGGGACCTACTTGTCAAGTTTGCTGTTGGACACAGACATGTGTCTGGGCGTGGCACCACACGTCTAGGTGGGAACCTACTTGTCAAGTTGCTGTTGGAAACAGCCATGTGTCTGGGCGTGGCACCACACGTCTAGGATCTGGGCTAGTTTAGGTGGGAACCTACTTGTCAAGTTTGCTGTTGGACACAGCCATGTGTCTGGGCGTGGCACCACACGTCTAGGTGGGAACCTACTTGTCAAGTTTGCTGTTGGCCACAGCCATGTGTCTGGGCGTGGCACCACACGTCTAGGATCCGGGCTATTTTAGATTGGAACCTACTTGTCAAGTTTGCTGTTGGACACAGCCATGTGTCTGGGCGTGGCACCACACGTCTAGGTGGGAACCTACTTGTCAAGTTTGCTGTTGGACACAGCCATGTGTCTGGGTGTGGCACCACACGTCTAGTATCTGGGCTAGATAAGGTGGGAACCTACTTGTCAAGTTTGCTGTTGGACACAGCCATGTGTCTGGGTGTGGCACCACACGTCTAGTATCTGGGCTAGATAAGGTGGGAACCTACTTGTCAAGTTTGCTGTTGGACACAGCCATGTGTCTGGGCGTGGCACCACACGTCTAGGATCTGGGCTAGATAAGGTGGGAACCTACTTGTCAAGTTTGCTGTTGGACACAGCCATGTGTCTGGGTGTGGCACCACACGTCTAGGATCTGGGCTAGATAAGGTGGGAACCTACTTGTCAAGTTTGCTGTTGGACACAGCCATGTGTCTGGGTGTGGCACCACACGTCTAGGATCTGGGCTAGATAAGATGGGAACCTACTTGTCAAGTTTGCTGTTGGACACAGCCATGTGTCTGGGTGTGGCACCACACGTCTAGGATCTGAGCTAGATAAGGTGGGAACCTACTTGTCAAGTTTGCTGTTGGACACAGCCATGTGTCTGGGTGTGGCACCACACGTCTAGGATGTGGGCTAGATAAGATGGGAACCTACTTGTCAAGTTTGCTGTTGGACACAGCCATGTGTCTGGGTGTGGCACCACACGTCTAGGATCTGAGCTAGATAAGATGGGAACCTACTTGTCAAGTTTGCTGTTGGACACAGCCATGTGTCTGGGTGTGGCACCACACGTCTAGGATCTGAGCTAGATAAGGTGGGAACCTACTTGTCAAGTTTGCTGTTGGACACAGCCATGTGTCTGGGTGTGGCACCACACGTCTAGGATCTGGGCTAGATAAGGTGGGAACCTACTTGTCAAGTTTGCTGTTGGACACAGCCATGTGTCTGGGTGTGGCACCACATCGGTAGAGGTTGTGGTCTGTCACCGGCAAGAGATCCACATCGTGGAAGATAAAGCAGGTAAAGTTGTAAGTCTTGAGAGCCTCCACAAAGCCGATGTTCATCAGGAGGGCTCTGTTAAACGTCACGTTGGGCAGCTACAGCAGAAAGGTGCGTGCGTATTTAGGGGCCATTATAAATCTGCATGATCGTATGAAAGCTACAGTAGAATAGTATATGATTTTATGTGGGCTAAAGTAACAATATGGACTATGGGAGACTTGTTATAATACATCAGGTATAATACACTGGGTATAATATGGTGGGTGAAATGCAGGGGCAAAATACCTTAAGTATAATAAATACACTAGGTATAATATATTCGGTATAATACTCTCGATATAGTATGTTCGATATATTACGCAGGGTAAAATACGAAATGTATAATACAATGGGTGTAATGCACTGAGTATAATATAATCGGCATAATACTCTTGGTATAATATACAGGATATACTACGCAAGGTATAATAAGATAAGTATAACAAAATGGGCATAATACACTGTGTATAATGCACTTGTTCTAATATAGTACGTATAATACACGATGTAAAATACACTGTATATAAAACGTGTAAAAAGTGTAATACACTTGGTATAATATAGAAGGTTGGACACACTGGATATAACACAATGTGTGTAATACAACGTGTTTGTTACAGTGGGAACATTACAGTGGGTCGTATACGCTAGGTATAACACAGTGGGAACATTACAGTGGGTCGTATACCCTAGGTATAACACAGTGGGAACATTACAGTGGGTCGTATACGCTAGGTATAACACAGTGGGAACATTACAGTGGGTCGTATACCCTAGGTATAACACAGTGTGAACATTACAGTGGGTCGTATACGCTAGGTATAACACAGTGGGAACATTACAGTGGGTCGTAGACCCTAGGTATAACACAGTGTGAACATTACAGTGGGTCGTATACGCTAAGTATAACACAGTGGGAACATTACAGTGGGTCGTATACGCTAGGTATAACACAGTGTGAACATTACAGTGGGTCGTATACGCTAGGTATAACACAGTGGGAACATTACAGTGGGTCGTATACCCTAGGTATAACACAGTGTGAACATTACAGTGGGTCGTATACGCAAGGTATAACACAGTGGGAACATTACAGTGGGTCGTATACCCTAGGTATAACACAGTGTGAACATTACAGTGGGTCGTATACGCTAAGTATAACACAGTGGGAACATTACAGTGGGTCGTATACGCTAGGTATAACACAGTGGGAAGAAATCAATGGGCACAATATACTAGGTATAATACACTGAATATAATATACCAGGTATAATACACTGAGTATAATATACTAGGTAAAATACACTGAATATAATATACTAGGTAAAATACACTGATTATAGTATACTAGTATAATACACTGAGCATAATATACTAGGTACTATACACTTAGTATAATGAACTAGCAAAATACACTGAGTATAGTATACTAGTATAATACACTGAGTATAATATACTAGGTATAATACACTGAATATCATACTAGGTATTATACACTGAGTATAATATACTAGGCACTATACACTGAGTATAGTATACTAGTATAATACACTGAGTATAATATACTAGGTATAATACACTGAATATCATACTAGGTATTATACACTGAGTATAATATACTAGGTACTATACACTGAGTATGATATACTAGGTATAATACACTAAGTATAATATACCAGGTATAATACACTGAGTATAATATACTAGCATAATACACTGAGTATAATATACCAGGTATAATACACTGAGTATAATATACTAGGTATAATACACTGAGTATAATATACTAGGTATAATACACTGAGTATAATATACTAGGTATAATACAATGAGTATAACATACTAGGTAAAATACACTGAGTATAATATACTAGTATAACACACTGAGTATAATATACTAGGTACTACACACTGAGTATAATATCCTAGCATAATACACTGAGTATAATATACCAGGTATAATACGCTGAGTATAATATACTAGGTATAATACACTGAGTATATTATACTAGGTATAATACACTGATTATAGTATACTAGGTAAAATACACTGAGTATAATATACTAGTATAATACACTGAGTATAGTATACCAGGTATAATAAATTGAGTATAACATACTAGGTATTATACACTGAGTATTATATACTAGGTATAATACACTGAGTATAATATACTAGGTAAAATACACTGAGTATAATATACTAGGTATAATACACTGAGTATAGTATACTAGGTATAATACACTGAGTACAATATACTAGGTAAAATACACTGAGTATAATATACTAGTATAATACACTGAGTATAGTATACTAGGTATAATACACTGAGTATAACATACTAGGTATGATACACTGGGTATAAAACACGGAGTAAAATTCTCTGCTTGAAATACTTTGGGTAAACAAAGACGAAGATGTGAATGATTGAACAATTGACAAAATTGAAAAGTGAAGGTCCTGACGTCTCACCGGCTCTACAACAAATATGGCGAAGTCTGCCTGCTGACGGACTAGGAAGGGGATGAGGTGATTGAGGAGCACCACAAGGTGGCGTTGTCTGTTCCTGTATGCCACAATGACAGCTGTCTTAGTTCGAGACACACACTCCGGGGGCTTGTAGTGTCCCCCCGGACGGAATGAGTTGATAAACGTCCGACTCAGATGGAGCAGATCGGTTGGGCTTTCATCTACTTGAGTTTCTCCAACTGCAACGAAAGTACGCTCATGTCACAAAACAGACGAAATGCGGGTCCATGGATGCAGAGATAATGGTATATTAATAACAGCGACAAAACCCTAAGTGAAAAGTCAGCGTACCCTGCAGAGTCTGTAGAGCATGTCACAAACACATGGCTGGGCAAGGCAAGTGTTCACTGAATATGAATATCTGCCATCAAATGTGGACATATGTTGAAACATCTACCGAGACGTGGCGGAAATGAGTTAGGACACCCACCTGAAAGTGGTGATGTCTTGGGACATAAGTTAGGACATCCACCTAAAAGGGATAATCTCTTGGGACATAAGTTAGGACACCCACCTAAAAGGGGTGATGTCTTGGGACATAAGTTAGGACACCCACCTAAAAGGGGCGATGTCTTGGGACATAAGTTAGGACATCCACATAAAAGTTGTGATGTCTTGGGACATAAATAAGGACATCCACCTAAAAGGGATGATGTCTTGGGACATAAGTTAAGGCATCGAAGTAAAAGTAGCGATGTCCTGGGACATAAGTTAGGACATCCACCTGAAAGGGGTGATGTCTTGGGACATAGTTAGGACATCCACCTGAAAGGGGTGATGTCTTGGGACATAGTTAGGACACCCACCTGAAAGGGGTGATGTCTTGGGACATAGTTAGGACACCCACCTGAAAGTGGTGATGTCTTGGGACATAAGTTAGGACACCCACCTAAAAGGGGTGATGTCTTGGGACATAAGTTAGGACACCCACCTAAAAGGGGTGATGTCTTGGGACATAAATTAGGACACCCACCTAAAAGGGGCGATATCTTGGGACATAAGTTAGGACATCCACATAAAAGTTGTGATGTCTTGGGACATAAGTTAGGACATCCACCTTAAAGGGATGATGTCTTGGGACATAAGTTAGGGCATCGAAGTAAAAGTAGCAATGTCCTGGGACATAAGTTAGGACATCCACCTGAAAGGGGTGATGTCTTGGGACATAGTTAGGACATCCACCTGAAAGGGGTGATGTCTTCGGACATAGTTAGGACATCCACCTAAAGAGGTGATGTCTTGGGACATAAGTTAGGACATCCACCTAAAAGGGGTGATGTCTTGGGACATTAGTTTGGACACCCACCTAAAAGGGGTGATGTCTTGGGACATAAGCCGGGCGATCTGATATCTCCAACCCTCTGCTTGAAGTCGGGATCCTCGGGAACAAATAGTGGAGCAGTCATAATCTTGACTGGGATCTGTCCAGGGTGTCGAAGCTTGAGCAGGACCATGCTGACGCCGCCGTTCAGGAGGATGACGATGACCAACAGTGAAACAAGCAGCAGGTATCTTGTTTTGACAGGTCCAACTTTACCAACTTGGATCATTTTGAGAACCTGGACATTACAAAAGTGAAAAAAGTGAAAAAGATTACGTTCTTACCGACACATCTATTGATCACGTTCTCGTGGTACTATCATAGACCTACTATATAACCAACATGTCTATTCACCACGTTCTCATGACACTATGGTAGAATTACTATATAACCAACATTTGTACTGTCAACGGACACAAGAACCTACTTTATTACTCACATATCTATTGGGCAATCCCTCTTCACTCTATAACATACCTACTGTATAACTCACATATATATTGGGCAAACCCTCTTGACTCTATAACATACCCACTGTATAACTCACATATCTATCGGGCAATCCCTCTTGACTCTATAACATACCTACTGTATAACTCACATATCTATTGGGCAATCCCTCTTGACTCTATAACATACCTACTGTATAACTCACATATCTATTGGGCAATCCCTCTTGACTCTATAACATACCTACTGTATAACTCACATATCTATTGGGCAATCCCTCTTGATTCTATAACATACCCACTGTATAACTCACATATCTATTGGGCAATCCCTCTTGACTCTTTAACGTACCTATATTATTACTCGCATATCTAGTGACCAGGGTCGAATGACTATGATATTCCTACTTCATACTCGCATATCTGTTGATCAGAGTCGAACGATTATGATATTCCTACTTCATTACTCACATATCTGCTGACCAGGGTCGAATGACTCTGTGATTTATCATACCTCCATGTTAAAATGATTAGATTTGATAGGTCCACGGAAGACATTTCTCAGCGGGGCAATAAATCTCTTATACCCCGCCACGAGCAAGTCTGCATGTGGATACCTAGTATGTAACTAACATATCTATTATCAGCGACCTCATGACAATATGATCAACCTACTTTACTGCTCACATTGACCAGTTACTCATGACACTATGATAGACCTACTTTATTACCAACATATCTAGTGACCTGGGTCTCATGACGCTATGATAGACCTACGTTATGACCAACATATCTAGTGACCTGGGTCTCATAACACCATGATAGACCTACTTTATGACCAACATATCTAGTGACCTGGGTCTCATGACACTATGATAGATCTACTATATTACTAACATATCTAGTGACCTGGATATCATGATACTATGATAGACCTACTTTATGACCAACATATCTGGTGACCTGGGTCTCATGACACTATGATAGACCTACCTAACTGCTAACATATACAGTGACCTGGGTCTCATGATACTATGATAGACCTACTTTATGACCAACATATCTAGTGACCTGGGTCTCATGAGGCTATGATAGACCTACTTTATTACTAACATATCTAGTGACCTGGGTCTCATGACGCTATGATAGACCTACGTTATTACATACATATCTAGTGACCTGGGTCTCATGAAACTATGATAGACCTACTTTATTACTAACATATCATGGACCTTGGTCTCATGTTACCATGATAGACCTACTTTATGACCAACATATCTAGTTACCTGGGTCTCATGACACCATGATAGACCTACTTTATGACCAACATATCTAGTGACCTGGGTCTCATGACACTATGATAGACCTACTTTATTACCAACATATCTAGTGACCTGGATATCATGATACTATGATAGGCCTACTTTATTACTAAAATATGTAGTGACCTGGGTCTCATGACACTATGATAGACCTACTTTATGACCAACATATCTAGTGACCTGGGTCTCATGACACAATGATAGACCTACTTTATGACCAACATATCTAGTGACCTGGGTCTCATGTCACTGTGATACACCTACTTTATTATTAACATATCTAGTAACCTGGGTCTCATGATACTATGATAGACCTACCTTACTGCTATCATATACAGTGACCTGGGTCTTATGACGCTATGATAGACATACTTTATTACTAACATATCTAGTAACCTGGGTCTCATGATACTATGATAGACCTACTTCATTACTAACATATCTAGTGACCAGGGTCTAATGACTCCATGACCTCCTGTTTTCATTACTCACATATCTGCTGACCAGGTTCGAATGACACTATGATTTATCATACCTTCATGTTAAAATGATTAGATTTGATTGGTCCACGGAAGACATTTCTCAGCGGGGCAATAAATCTCTTATACCCCGCCACGAGCAAGTCTGCATGTGGATACCTACTAATTAACATATCTATTATTACCGACCTCATGGCAATATGATCAACCTACTTTACTGCTCACATTTACCAGTGGGAAACTGTATGCCCAGATGGTCACACACCATCACATACTGTATGCCCATATTATTATTCCAATATATAAAGGAAACAATAAGGACAGATCGGATCCTGCAAATTACAGAGGTATCACTCTGACGTCAATGGTGGGAAAACTGTTCGAAAAGATCCTATTAGAGAGAATTGAGAGACATATCAAATATATGGAGCCCGACTTCCCACATAGATTACAATGTGGCTTCAGGCGAGAACACGGTGTAAACATAGCTACCTACATACTCAAAGAAGTCATATATTTCTATACGGAAAGGTCTTCCAACGTATACACTGTGTTTCTTGATAATGAGAAAGCGTTTGATCGCATCTGGCACAATGGACTACTCCTAAAATTATTCATCATTGGTGTGCAAGGGAAAGCCTGGCATATCATACGTCAGTCGTATCACGAATCTACTGCATGTGTCAAATATGCCGGTGAGACAAGTCGAACGTTCCCAATCGGACAAGGTGTAGGACAAGGACGTGTCTTATCCGCCTGGATGTTCCTTGTGTATATTAACGAGCTTATAATCCGCCTTGACCATTTGAAACAAGGTGTTATGCTTGGACGTGATCACTTCCCAGTTGTCCTACTCGCGGACGACACAACTCTCATAAGCTCAACAAGTAGTGGCATATGCATGTCCTTACAGACTGTACATCAATATGCTTGCCAATGGAGATTGACATATAATGCAAGAAAAAGCTGTGTTCTGGTGTTTAAAGGTGGAAACAAAATCAACCAACCAGGTTCTTTTAGACTAGGTAACCATATACTGGAAATGAAATCGAACACAATATATGCAGGTTCTGTTATCAGTACTCATTTAGAATCCGAAAGGACCAGGAGAGCTTGCGCTAAGGCGAGGAAGAATTTGAATTCCCAGAGAGATATTGGTCTAAGAGCAGGTGGTCTGAACCCAGTCTGCTGTATGAACATATGGCGTAGAGTAATAATTCCAGGTGCCTTCTACGCGTGTGAACTGTGGTCAAATATGTCCAAGACAGAACACAATGAAATTGAAAAACTCCAGCGCTACTTTGCACGTAATGTACAAAATTTTCATGTAAGATCTTCGACCGTTGCAACTATTCAGACGCTGGGATTGTGGACAATGACATCCGTGATTGACAAAATGAAGCTGATGTTTCTTGGGAGGATGTGTAGAAGCAGCCACAGATATGCCCCGAAAAAGGTGTTCTATTTCAAGTGTGCTCAATATATAACAGGCAGTGACAAATGTAAGTCTGTAACACATGATCTACTCAATGTGGCAAAGAAATATGAATTATGGACCATAATAGTTCACTTTATGAAAACTAACCAGTTTCCATCCAAGGATGTGTGGAACAAAACCGTACAGACTAAAATAACAGAACATGAAACTGCTCATTGGCACACGAGTCTGCGAGATCACCCTGAATTAAACAGATTTATTAAAATTCACAGTAAGCTTGTACCTCATAGACTGTGGAATATGTGTATTCTGTACAATATACCAACTAGACCAATGTATGCACTTGTGAAACTAGGAACACTACCAATAACACCTGGACAGTGTTTAATGTGTGATGAGGAGTGCGATGACATAATAAAGCACCAACTGCTATGTTGTACAGCTTTAGCTGATGCAAGGAACACCCTCTATGAACATCTATTTGACTCTTTAAACCTCGAACAATACATGCGTATTGAGGACTGTGCAGATGACGAAGTCAAACTTGTGACATTGCTAGGTGGTATAACCCCTATTGTAGAGGATATGAGCCTTGACAGATGGGCTGAATTCATATCTTCTGTATCACGAGACATAAGCTCCTGGAACCTGCGATCACTGCTCTATCTATAGACAGTATATCTCATACCAGGACCAGGACATGTAAATATTCAGTATTGCCAATTTCTCTGCATAATATAATGTTCGTGTAAATATGCTGTGTTAACATGATTCCAAATGTATATCACTCTCCGAAATTAATGGAGGAAATAAAGATCATTCATTATAGTCACACACCATCAGATACTGTATGCCCAGATGGTCACACACCATCACATACTATATGCCCATATAGTCACACACCATCAGATATTGTATTCCCATATAGTCACAAACCATCAGATACTGTATGCCCATATAGTCACACACCATCAGATACTATATGCCCAGATGGTCACACACCATCACATACTATATGCCCATATAGTCACACACCATCAGATATTGTATGCCCATATAGTCACACACCATCAGATATTGTATGCCCATATAGTCACACACCATCATATACTGTATGCCTATATGGTCACCCACCATCAGATACTGTATGCCCATATGGTCAAACACCATGAGATACTGTATGCCCATATAGTCACACATCATCAGATATGGTATGTCCATATCGTATACAACATGAGATAATGTATACCAATACGGCCAAACATCATCAAATACTGTATGCCCATATGATCCGACATCATCAGATACTGTATGCCCATATGGTCAGACATCATCATATGGTGACACAATATGAGATACTGTTTGTCCATATATATATGTGGTCACACAGTATCACATATTACAGATATATGTGATCACACACTATCACATATAACATGTATATGTAGTCACACACCATCACATATTACATGTATATGTGGTCACAATCTATCACATATTACATGTAAATGTAGTCACACACTATCACATATTACATGTATATGTGGTCA